ACATTTTTCCTCTTTGCCTTCGGCCCTAGCTACTCATTCTCTGAGCACTGTTTGTTTTTTAATATTTATTGTGGATAACTACGAGGAGAAAAAATAGGTGACTGAATGTTTTTGCCTTTGCCTTTATTGTTTATATAGACAGTTGAAGAATGAATGGCACGCGCTAGTTTCGGGATGTGGGGGGCACGACGCAATGACCATGGGAAAAACGGTGGATGGTTGGAAGACCTAAGGTAAGAGGACGAGTACGATTTAGGTACAAGACCATAGCTTTGCTGGTTTTGCTGAAACATTATGCTGCTTTCCTCCAATGAAAATGGAGGCATACACTCATTGCCACGTATTTTGGGTTTAGAAGAAATTTATGATAACTTTAGAGTAAGGGTCAAAGCTTTGAACCAACATCTAGAATTAGCCTGGGAGTTTAGATCATTGCCAACCCGGACTCACAATAAGCCAAAAGTAAATAATAATAAAAAAAAAACTTTGCTAGCTCAATTGCTCTCACAACACAAGGTTGTTTCCTAATTGTGCGATTTGCATTTATGGTGAAATATCTTTGGAACAATTAGTGCATTTCATCGTATTGAGACTCAATTGTTGGGCTTACATTTCTAACATCATCAGCATTTTTTTATTAATATTTGAGAGCTCCACACATGTTCATTACTGCAGCTTTGTTGAGGTTGTCTTGAGGAAGATTAATATATGTTAATGAATTCACATTTGACCTAAGTGGATATTAGGGCAGTAAGGATAGTTGGAATTCCATTAGACGATCAAACACCTGGTGAAAGATACAAATATTCAAAGTATTTTTCCAACTAATAAGATTTGATTTGCCTTATACTATGCCTTCTGTCATTGGTTGAAGAAGTGGGATCATGGTTCAGGTTACAGATATAGCAGGGAAACCATTGGATATTTCCTGACCGATCATAGAGTTCTTTCAAATCTAGCATCCACACCATAAATCGGGAAATTTGTCGAAAAGGAAAATTAACTTTCATTTATTCATGTCATACACGATCATGTCTAAACACAGAGATGAAGAAAGGAAGATTGCAGAGGGGGGAAAAAACAAAAAGAAAAGATGATTTTAAGGATCACCGACAAACTCTCATTTTTCTCTCTTTTACAGTTTTAACACACTAAAACAAGAAAAAGAGAGAAATCCTGTGCCGGCAATTTACAAAACTCGCCGGAAAAATCATTTTCCGGGAAAATACGTCCCCAGAAGTACCCAAAAATAATCTAAAACCCAAAATCATTACCAAAAAAAGAGAAATGATAGTGGTAGAAAAGAAGAATATTACACCGAACTAGATCATTTAAACGTTAGATTCACAAAAAAAAAAAAAACTCTTTTTTGCTCTTCAAGGAAACAAGTTGAGTAGCTTTTTATCTGCTGGTACTCCGCCTTGTCCTTGTTGATCTGCAAACCCACTGTCAAAGCAGGTCGTCGTAACAGATTCCTCCGAGTTCATAGACGGAGTACCTGGTCGTCTGTTTTCCGGGACTCGCTTGCCTGTGAAGCATGGAGTCAAGCAAAGATCTAGATCGGACGGCTGTGATTTCTTGAATTCTTCAATCCTTTTACGCTTAGGTGAAACCTTGGATCTTGAATTGGAAAACCGACAGTTTGAGTTCAGATTCGTTGCTGTTTCCTGCAACTTCCACATGTCCGTACACGTAGCTTCGGATGTTTCATCGGTTGCTGGCGTTGGAGCCATAAGTTCGGGCATCGCCCGTAGAGTTCCTCCTCGTAGGACAGTTTCAACTGCCGCTTGGCAAACATGCCAGTTACCTGTCCACAAGAGTCCAACAGCTCCATTCACAGGATTCACTGTCCTCCCACAAGCTTCGAACAACAGTGATTGGAACAAAGCTGATCGAAAAGTTTTATAACAAAGACTTAGAGTTTTTTGCAATCAACTGAAAACCAACAAAAAAAAAATGTAAGAATATCGGAAAAAGAAATAGTTCTGCGTCGTACCAGGACGTTGAGATTCTGGAACAGCGGAAATGAAAGACATGAGCCCCGCACGGCCGAAAAACTTGGCAACAAAAACGGTAGCGTGGCCTTGTGCTTCAGGACTCTCGATCCATTGCAGACAAGGACGTAAAATACAAGACTCGCTGCATCCTTTTCGTAAGACTCGGCACCCGTTGCAACTCATGGTTCAACCACTCTTCCCTCCCTTGGCATGAAATCAATATTCCCAAAACTTCCCAGGTCTGGCTGGCTGGCTTAATGGTACTTAGGTTACAAAAAACAGGAAGCAAAAAAAAATGGCCAAATGGAAATGGGTTGGCAAAGAGAGGAGCAAGAAAGAGAGAAAAATTAAGGTATGGGAGTGAGAGGGGGAAGGGGATATATAAGAGGGGGAGATTTTGGAGGGTTTTAAAAGGGAAAAATAAAGGGTTGAAAGGAAACTCTAGTTTAGGCTTGGCCTTGGGTTAGTTTGGTAGTGGGTGGGTGAGTTTATAGGGGAGAGTGTGGGTACTGTTCGTTGGGATGGGGGGAAGAGGGAGGAGGTTAGATTCCAAAGTCTTGGGCGCGAGCGGCTCCGTGTTTCCGCGGATGGTGTCGCTCCACCGTTGGATTCCTTCCTTCTTCCTTTTTTTTTTCTTTGGTTTAATATCTCATTTGAGTGGATATTGATTATTGATGGCCTTTCATTTTCATGGTTTTATTATTTTTCCTTCTTTACATGATTTCTTTTTTTTTTTAACATGAAATAAAGCAGTACTATACTACTCTTGCGTCAAGGGTATTTATTAAAAATGGAAGGGATTTGGTAATTTTTTTTTCTTTTGAAAGGGGAATGGTGTGGCATGCACATGTATTGAGAATACATATTCTTGGAGTTTGTGGGAGAGTTATATATTGTAATGCTAGTGGGAAAAAAATATGGTATTTCTAGAGACTAATCATTGAGGGTTTTGTGCGAGATCAGGAAACCAGCCATTGTCTATAGGTGTTGGTAAAAAGATTATAAACTTATAGTCACAATTAAATAGTATTCTGTGTCACTAGAATCAACTTCGAACACGTCATATATCTTTTTAAAATAATCAACTATGTTAAAAAAAAAAATTTTCCTCGATAGAGAATGGAAATTTAATTAAATGGACAATTTCAAATGTTTAAGATTTTTTATATAAAAAAAAACCAGTCACTCACAAAATTAGGTTTTAAGTATATTTTTGGCAATTATGTGCACTTACATCAACATATTTACTTAGGTTCATTAATATGTTATGTGCTTAATAAGATCTTCATAAATAGATATTAACTTTTAGCAAAACTCTCTAAATTAATAACTATAGGATAATTTTCCTAATTATTTACGGTACCAAACTAAAATGATCAAAACTATATACCTGTTTTGCAAAGAGTGATATTAATTGATCAAGCAACTAAGTTTTTGATGATATGATTCTATTATTGACAATATAATCATTATGCTAGCTGGCACCTTCATCGACAAATTAAACTTTGTGTAAACTTCCCCATGCTTTTAACATGAAGGGGTCTATTCTAATAAAAGAGTCATGACATTGCTTCACCATTGGCATAAACTCTCCCTTGTTCACAACTATTTCATGTAATTAATTAGGAATTCCTTTTTGATATTAATAAAACTTCAAAACTGGGGTTTCCTTTCTCTTCATGCATCTAGCAAGTCATCACAAGAAATACATGCATCCAATGAAATTTTTAACTACCTGGATTAGCATATGTATAAATAAATTATAACCAAAACCCAATAGTCATTTCAAATTTAACTTTGTTTTTATAAAAAGAATAAAAAATAAAAAGGAAGAAGCATGATTATAATATGCCCAAGTGAGTGAACCTTGATTGAGAAGATGATAACCTTATCTTCCATTGTTCTCTTTTGCTGTTGGGGTCGGGCAACTCAGAAATAATAGATTATATATAACCTTATCTTTTTTATTGTTAATCAGTTATTGCAATAGATAAGGTGAGAGAGTATATTAAAGAGAAAATAATATTATCAATAATGATCCTATTTTGTTCACTAAATTTTTACTATGAATGGCTTAAGATTTGCAAAATTAATTTGTTGGCTGCAAGTTAGGTCAATTTTGTCATGTTTAACCCAGCTTAAAGAATTCACTTGCTAAATATTAGGAGATTCCGAATGTGTAAAAGGATTAAGTTGCTTGTGCTATAAGCACAAGCATTAATGTGGAAAGAACGTAGGAAATTTGGATAAAAAGCCAACACGCTTCTTGCCATTAGATTTTTCCTATAAACTACTGTTATTGCTAAGAACAGACAATAGCCATTACCCAAAAAAATTCACTTTCATCTCTTGAATTTTCTCCTAATGATTTAAATAGAACTCAATTTGGCGATAAGAGCTATATGTGACATTAAGAAACAAATCAGTCAAACAATTACGATTTCATCTTGAGTCCTTAAACGTCATCGTTTTTAAAAGAGAACTAGCGGTCCTCAAACTGCAAAATTATCTGAAATTTTCATAATTGAAAAAAAAAAAAGGCAGAAAAGATGATGCGTGACAAAATTTGCATCGAGAGTTTTAGATTAAGATTTTTTTTTTTTCTGTTTATATATATTGGAATATGCGGCGCGTGATTGGTGAAGTTGTGAGCAAATGGAAACGTCATGGTGTCAGCGGACGTGGCGTCCTTATCCTACTGTCAACCTTGTCACTCTCCTTCCCCCACTTGCCCAAAGGAAACAACATAAAAAAGAAAAGAAAGTTACGAGCATGCATGAACTTTGGAACCAAACCAAGAAAGAAAGAAAGGGCTACTTATCTTTGTGATGGGCACAATATATATATATATATATATATATGTATATAAGTATATAATCTTTTGTGGCAGTGAAAGAACAAGATTTTATTAGCCAATTGACTTCCTCAGCCATGGGGACTGGGGGGCGGAGGTCACTTTCCTATGAAAATTTATGAAATCATGATAAATTCCTTCATCCAACACGTAAACTCCCTTATGGCAGATGATGGAAGGAAAATATTTTGGTTTTATCCTTTGTCGATTTTTCTTTTTCTTTTTTATTTTTTGAATCCATTATCATAAAAGTGAGTAAAATCAAACCAAATCAATTATCCATTTAAATTAAATATGATTTAAGTAAAACAATTCAATCTAATTGATATATTAAATCTATTGGTTCAAAATATTTAATCCAATTGATTTTTTAGTTAATTTTGTATTTTAAAATTTTTAAATCAATCTATAAAAAAATCAAATTAACTTTTTATATATATTGAGAAGAATTGATAATAAATTTAATTAATAGTATACTTAAAATATATTAATTTATTATATATATACAAATAATAATCATGATAATTTAATTTTAGTTATATATATTTATTTATAAATCTATATCAATATGAAATTACAAGTTATAAATTTTAAATGATATAACTTCTATGTTAATATAATATATGATAGTAAAAATCTTATATATTAATATATTATAATTATTACATTTTAGTAATGTTTCATAATATAAAATGTTATAAATATATATAATTGTGTAAACATTATATTTATTTATTTTATACATAAACATTATAATAACTTATAATAAATTTTATTTATATGATTACACTTAATAATTTTATTAATTATCACCTTAGTGTTTATAACATTTTGTTTATAATTAGTTATTATTTATACAAACTTTGATATAAAACATTATAACATATAAGTTGTATCATTAATTTCATATATACATAATAATGTAATATATATTATATATACATATATATTTAATTTATACATAAGAATTATTGTAACTTATAATAGATTTTATTTATATGATTATACTTAATAATTTTTTTAGTTGTCGCCTTAATTTTTATAACATATTGTTTATAATTAGTTATTATTTATACAAACTTTGATATAAAAATTAAAATATTATAACATATAAATTGTGTATAAATTTTATATATATAATAAAGTAATATATTATATATATCTATATTTAATTGATACATAATTTGTATCTATTGTAATTATGGATGAAGTTTATAAATTTTAATATTATAATTTATTAAGAAAGTGATAAAATTATAATCTATTGGTCCAAAATCAAACCAACCAAACTAATTTTATGTTTAATCGGTTTGGTTGTCTTTTATGTTTGTTCAATTTTAATCAATTTTTAAAAATATATGATCTATTTGATCTATAAGTATGATGGATAAAACCATCCAATTCATTTATTTGCTCAAGTCTACCTTTTCATGTGCCCATTGCATTAGGCAGATTCCTTTTCAAAGAGGATGGGAATTTCCTTGGGTTATACCTCTGAGAATTTAGTGGGGAAAAGGTTGAGTAAATTTACTAATAGCTTCAGCTTAGCCGTCATAAAAGGACAAAATCAGTAAAATTTATTTTCTTGGATCAACCGAAATTCAATGGCAGAATTATTGGTATCATACATGAGAGATTCTAATGCCTTCAACGTTCAACCCATAGTTATGATTTGTAAATAAGGGATTCCTAGGTATTGATCAAAGCTAAAATGCAGGTAATTAAGAAGGTTAAAAGCTTCTAGAAATAAAAATTTGTAAAAGATTGAGTGGAATACAGGCTAAGGCAACTTTTGATATGTTTCCTCTTGTCTTGAAAATGAATCTGTAAAAGGGTTACAAATAAATGAAAGAGCTGAGTAGGGGGGCTGATTAGGGGAGGTAGGCTGGTGCCAGAATCTACCACCCTTCCTCGGTGTTATAGCAAAGACACATTTAATTAGCATTAGTTAATTAATTGATTAGGGTTTGCTTGACGATGACTCAACCAGTGTACAGGCTACCTAACAAAACATGGTCCGTTCCGTCAGTTTATACAAATATTATAATACTCTTTCAGATAAGCAGCCAATTCCATTTTCCGTTTCAGTAATACCAATAAGATGTTCCAGGAAGAAATGGTGGTACTATAATCTGTAAAGTGTTAAAACTTTTTGATGCAAAGCATTGGTTAATCCGCAGAAAACTGCCAACAAAACAGCTGGTTGGCAGAGGCAACGTGAATTCCCATTATCTTCTCCTCCTTTTTGATTCGGACTGATGACCCGTAAAATGGCAACGATGCCGTCAGCTTATTTAGCTAGCAATCAAGTCATAAATTCAGATCAGAGTCTTTTAGGAAGCAGTACTAGTCCCCCTATGGAGGAGTTGCTGGGACCATCCGCCAAATAAAGCAGAAGAAAGTAATGTTTTCCCTATAAGAACAAACAAAAGCTCAAATCATCATGAAATGCAGGCAATATCTCAAAGATTCCGATTTGTGGGGTCCCGGGGTGAGAGAGGGCAATTTGGATTAGCACGAAGCCCTGTTTTCATCCAAAAATGATGAAAGTAAACAAGTCCAGCTGTTCGGTTATTTTTAAGCAATGTAATCAGTCTGCAGTCTACTAACTATATAGGCATCTTTTTTAGTACAAATTTTTCTGCTAATGGATGGTTACGTCAAATGTACGATGTTGAATCAAATCAAGCACCACTGAAATTCATCTGTATGATAAGATAAAAGTTCCACCAAGTACAGGGTATCATTCCTTAATGAGTGGTTCACTTTTATTTTCTCCGACCCCAAGCTTTTTAGTCCTAGCCTTGGAATTATATCCTTGTAGCTTACCCCTCTTATTACCATTGTTTTGTTTTAAACAACCCAAGGTAACATGTCAAAGCTCAATCAATTCCTAGTGGTCCATCCACTCAAGTGTAAGAAAAAAAAAACAAATATTACAATTTGCTGCTACGGTCATGGCTGTCAAATATTTCATCTGATAATGAAGGTTCCAGGATGTCGGCAACTCCCACAAGTCTCCCCATTATTGACATACCTAACCTTAACTTCCTGTGTGCCTGGACCTCTGGACTGAGCCATGGCTAACTATGGTGCAAAATTTGGTGGTTCCTGTAGACCTGAAGAAGAAGAAGAAGAAAACGTGGGAGCAGAAATATCCCTTTCCGCAAACGGTGCCACCCTGACATACCTGCTGTAACCTGTTGCAGAGGTCAAGGAAGGGGAGCTTTTTAGAGTTGCAATGGTGGACTGTGATGGAGGTATAATAAAAAATAACGACTCCGCAGATGATGTCAAGCATGCTGATCCATACATGGCGTGAGTTCAATTTTAATTTCTTTCTGTTTTCCAAATTCTACTGCATATATAATTGCCAGTGTTTAAAGATCAATAACCTCCTTGATAAGCCCTCAGTAACTGTAGTTGTCCTGAAGATCAGACAATGGTCAACGTGTTAGAAGCACAAGTTTTCTTCTGAACATCAAGGGTAACCAAGGTAAAACTTCAGCACATGGTTACCTATATTAAGTCACTAAAACATGGGTGTCTTCAGCTTCTAGTGTATGCTTTTAGTGTTTTTTCCACCCTGGCTGGAGTGAGTATATCTTTTAAAATCCTTTTGACATGTACAGAGAAAGGCACTCTAAAGAAATTGCCTAATGATTTTCAAGAAATCATGTCAGTCTTTCACTAGAAATTTTAGTTGCCATTGATTAATTGCCTGTTAGCTCGTCTTCTCTTCTTCTGAGAAACTTCTAAAACCTGTTGCCCTTTGCATTTTTCACATTTGCAAGTGCACCTTCGTATGTTTGTCTTGTAGTTAAACGAAAATGGGGACCATTTGGAAGGATTGTCACTCCCATTTGTCAGCCAGTAATTGTATGGGAGTTAAACCTCCTTCTCCAATGGATGCCATTTGGATAGACTGACAATTCTGCAACAAGTATCTCCATGATCTACCACTCCCAGTGGCATTCCAAGACTAATAAAAGCCAATAGACAGGATGAAGAAGCGCTGGGTGTAAGCTCTACAACTTACATCCTTGGTTGCAGGGTAGATGTTGCGAACTGGAGAGAAGGTGTCTTCCAATTGTCTCTTTTATCAGTTAATATCCTTGAACACGATCGTCTTTGAAACTTGTTGATTTTGGTTTGTTTGATAAATGACATAGGCCCATTATCTCAGTGGACCAATATAATTTGTGGACAAAGACGGTATACCAGCCAAGCAAGGCCACCGTCTGGCAGTGAAAATATGTAACCTGGGTCCTCTGCCTGGGGATGAATGAGACTATACCGCAACATTTGACAGAGAAAATGGAGGACGTTGTTTGGCCGACCATTTTCCTTGTGTGCCTAAAGCTATTTGGTACCTGGAAGGGATTTTTGCCAACTCTCCTCATGTAGCCGGTGAATTTTCATCCCATTACCCTACGTTAAAACCAATTAATCATTTCAAAGTATCTTAAATTAAGTTACAATGGTGGTCGAAAGTGACTTCAAGAATGCTGTCCAGTGGATTAATGCACCCGAGAAAGCCCCATGGAGAATGAGAGAGTGGATCCTCCACATCGAGATGTTAAAAAGAAAAGTTGTTCAATGGGAGGTACAGCATATCTTCAGGGAAGCCAACCAACAAGCTGATAACTTGGCAAAAACAGGGATAAGAAGGGTTGAAAATCTGCTCAACGTTTGGGGGGAGGCATCAAATAACGACGCTAGAGCCTGATGACAGTTGTTTCATTGTTCAACTTTTTTCTTCAGCTGTTGTTGCAGAGGATCTTTATAAAGGGGCGGTTTCGCCTTTTCAAAAAAAAAAATAAAAATTAAGTTACTACAATCATGCACAAAAATCGAAAACAGTTCAGTGGCTAACGAAGTTACATAGAAGGGGGTGAGATTTTCAGGTTTGCCTCACCCTGGAGTGATTGGAACTGCACCATCGTGGAACTCCTGAATATTGGGAATGAGAGAGAAAGAGAAGTTGCAGAAAATAGCCTAAGGTACCAAGAACTATGCGAAGTTTTGCATTCGCGACCATTGGCAAACCTGCCATGCACAAAAAGCTACCTATTGGGGAAGGTACTAAAATCAATGTAAGTGCCTAATATTTCAATGTCTGTGCATATAAAACCTTTTAGATGCAATTTCCAGCCACACCAGACTAGAGTTTCAAAGAATCGGGACTTGAAAGTAATTATTCTAACATGTGATGGCTATCTGGAGATACCCAAGGGCACCTCTGAATGGGAAAAGATAACTAAGGGGGCTGCAACGACTGTTCCAGGGACAGAAATGGAGGAAATTGTGGACATCAAAAACTTTAGCCCCGTTTCAAAAATATACCTTCCTGTGTTTGCTGCAGTGAATCTCAGCATGCACTTTTCTCAAGACGATGGCGAAATATCCTTTTGCGGGGCAATTGAGATGAGTGGTTTTCTGGAGCTTAAGTACGTTTTTAACCTCAAATCTGAGCATCCTGGCATACAGACGCTAGTCAAGATGTTTCTACACATTTCCCTCAATACATTTTCATAAAATTTTTTGATTATCTACATCTCATCCAGCAAAACATGTCCTGTCGGATGTAGTGCATTCGAAGATAATTTCATCCAGCAAAACATGTCCTGTTGGATGTAGTGCATTCGAAGTTAATTTCATGACTTAGAATAAGCAAAGGAGTCCGCTTCATGCTTTTGATACGAGTACCATATATTGTCTACTACTAGTTATATGACAGATATTGGATAAATTCAGGTAGTGGTTAAATATACAGTGGCAGACAAGAAACTAAGAGGTGCAGGTGCTTCAAAATTTACTACGAGGCAAGAAGACTGAGTAGAATATATTCAGGTAGTGGTTCAAAAATCTGGAGGAGAACTTTGCCACTGGCAGACAAATGTATCAAAAGTCGAAACACTTCTCCTGGGAGATTTGGAATCACCCCTGCCACAAACATGCATGATTTGCCCAAAATCCAATGATTTTCTAATTTTAAAATTCTTCCTACCTGAAACAGCTGGAATGGGCATGCCGTATGCATGCCAGATGAATCTGTTAGATAAAATCAGGGAGAGATGGCTCACTCTAAAAATGCTTTTAGGTGAGCTTGAAAGAAAAATTATTCCGCAAGTATCTTCTTCATTGAAAGATGCAGTTTAAACACCAGGATTGACAACTTAAATTCAGGCAGGTTTAGAAATGTGTGAAATCAGAAGAGATGGGATGAAGGAGTGTCTTACCCCAATGGGACCAACCCCTCCTCTTGTAAGTCCAATCTTCGAGGTTGGATTCTCAGAATTGCTAGTGTTTGAGGGAATGAGCATCGATGAGAATGGAAGGCAGCATTTCTTGATACAAGTGTTGCTTGTAAACGTGCAGTTCTCAACGCCATTGCATACCTTTCTAAATACAGGTCTGTTCGCTCAATATTTTGCTAGCATATTCCTTCAAGAACTCACACAAGCACTTTCATAGATAAAAAAGGAATTACCCCACAGTTACCTTACTGATGCAGAGGAAATAATGGTGACAAATCAGATTACACCTTTTGCTATTTCCACCTAGAATTGGAGATTTTTTTGAAACATGCACTATGTGATCCTCAAATTTCAAAATTCTAAAACCATATAACGATGTGCACGATGTTGGCTAGCGAGAAAACCAGATGTCCTTAATGGTGGAAAATCTGCCCATCACAAAGAACCAGCTGCCTCAAAGTAACTTCAGTCAGCAAGCCTAAAGCAGATTCATTTTCCGTGCCTAATGGTCCTGTGCATATAGAAGTAACTTTAGGTGGAAAAACTGCAATGTAGCTAAATAACGTGTACTCACTGACTAAAACAAACACCATATTTTAATTATGAATCACGAATATGTTGGAAAATCTGTAAAAAGATGACAGTTGGTCAAGCTGACACGCATGATACAATGACTATATGGTACAAGAGGCATCAATTTCTACATATTTTAAGTATGTTAAATGATTCCCAGATGGTTTCAAAGTGTGATGCTTGGAACCAGGAAAACAGAAAAGGATGTCATGGAATAAGGTTAAACTTATCCCAGTAACTAGTAAGTTACCTAATGTAGTCAAAACCAAAATTTATCTTCCCCTGCTGTTGACAAGCATATCAGAAAATAATAAGGATATAATAACTTACTCTAACAAAAGAGTGGTACACTGATATAGATAGAGGCCACAAAGGATTCCCCAGTTTCCTCTCCTAACATGAATCAAAATCCAGAAATGTATGATGTTGCTGAAATATTAACCTGAGAAAGTTGAACCTCTATCAAGAGAGTTCAGACATAAGTTTCCTAATTATAAACTAAGAACTGGCTGATTTTGTTTTTACACCTATGACCATTGGAGTGTACACTGTTTGCCTTTCTTGGAATTATTCTGCACAAATATCTCAAAACGACATAAATTTGAAGGCGACTCCATCTTGCATCTCTCTTCCATGGCTGGTTTCCAATGCTCCCATCTTTCGTTGATTTGGAATCTTAAAGTGACGGCCCTAGATCATGACAACTAGCTTATTTGCCATCAAGTCAATAATCTGGGGTTAGTCCTATCGGAAATTGTACATGCCCTACCTAGTGTCTCTCTCCTTAAGAACAAACAAAAGCTCAAAGATTCCAAGTTTGTGGGGTCGTGTCAGAGGTTTGGATTGGCTTTGAAAGCTTGTTTCCATCGCAAAATCATGAAAGGAAACTATCCAACTGTTCGGTTAAAGTAAGCAATATAATCAATCCGCAGCTTAATAATAATTAGATTGGCATCTTTTTGGTTCAAAATTTTTTGCTAATGGATGATTACGTCAAATGTATGATTTGTTGAAGCAAATCAGAGTCAGACACCACTTAAGTTCACTTCCAACATGCGAAAAAACTTCCCTCAAATACAGGGCATAGGTTAGAATCAATTTGGCCATCTCCTAAGCACAAGCTTTAGTCGTAGATTTAGCATTTTATCACTGGAAATTACCCTCTAATCACTGTTATTTTGTCCTAAGAGAAATCCAAGGTAATTTGTCAAAACCCACATCAATTCTAAGTGGTCCATCCATCAAATAAAAAATCCCAACTCATGGCCGTCAAAGTTAAAGGTTTGCCGTATGTCGGCATTTGTGATGAGTCTCTTATGATCATCATACCTAACTGTTTCTTGCATTCGGCTAAACCAAGGCTGCAATTCTAGACTGAGCCATGGCTGGATATGGTGCAAGAGTAGTGGTGCCTATAGACTTGAAGAAAAAGCCATGGGAACAGAAACATCCCCTCCACAACCGGTGGCACCCCGACATACCGGCTGTTGCAGAGGTTAAGGACGGAGAGCTTTTCAGAGTCGAAATGGTGGATTTCAGTGGAGGTGGAATTACAAAGGACTACTCTGCTGATGATGTCAAGCATGCTGATCCATCTATTGTGAGTTATTGTTCAATCTTCTGTCTTCCAGTTTCTAATTCCAACTTCTACTGCAGGTGCTTAAAAGTAAATACCTCCATGAAAAATAATAGCTCCAAATCGAATGTCAGGCACAAATTTATGCTGCTAGAACATAGAACTTTTCCTATAAACTGTAAATTCTGAACAGTTTCAAGCAAACAATTTCAGTGTTTCTGATAAGCAATTTTATCTGCATTTACTTGGTTGCTTTTTTTTTTTCTAGAAAAAAAAGATCAAACCGCGTTGCTTAGCAAGTGAACCTTGGTATCTCTGTCCTTTAGTAAAGCCAAAATGGGACCATTGGAAAAATGGTCAGGCCCATTTGTCAGCAAGTAGTATTATCTAAGAGTCAAACTTCCTACAATGGGTGACATTAGGCTTAGACTAGCTAACAAGTGTGCAACAAATATCTCCACGATCGACCAGTTCTCCCAACCTGTTCGTCCATGGCTCCAACTCCAAGACTGGTGGTGTCAATAGACTTGAAGAAGAAGCCATGGGAACAAACTCTGCCTCTTCACAACCGTTGGCACCCTGAAATACCCTCAGTTGCGGATGTTAAAGTCGGTGAGGTCTTTAGAGTAGAGATGGTAGACTGGACTGGAGGTATCGTAAAAGATGATGATTCCGCAACTGATGTAAAATTTATAGACCTCTTCTCTGTAAGTACACAAAACTCTTCCGTTAAAGTCGAAAACACGTCTAGCAAAGCGAAATATAAGATCATTTCTATCAGATAATTAACTTGCACAGACCAATTATCTTTAAAAATCCTTGGTTATACTTAAAAAGATTACATGAATGACACAGGTCCATTATCTCAGTGGGCCAATAAGAGTTGTAGACAAGGATGGCATACCTGCCAAGCCAGGTGATCTTCTTGCCGTGGAAATATGTAGCCTGGGTCCTTTGCCGGGGGACGAATGGGGTTATACAGCAACGTTTGACAGAGAAAATGGAGGAGGTTTCTTGACAGACCATTTTCCATGCGCAACTAAAGCTATTTGGTATTTTGAAGGAATTTATGCCTACTCTCCCCATATACCAGGTTAATTTTTCTATCTATTTGCTATTGTAAAAACTAGTAGCACGCTTTTAAAATTACACTTCCCGTTCTGTTTCTATGATCATGCAAAAAGATAGAAAATAATTCAGCTGAGTTTCCTTACAAAGCTTCATATGCAAAGCAGGGGTGAGATTTCCAGGTTTGACTCATCCTGGAATAATTGGGACTGCACCATCAATGGAACTTCTGAATATATGGAATGAAAGGGAAAGAGAAGTAGAAGAAAATGGCCATAAGTCCCTAAAACTATGTGAAGTTTTGCATTCAAGACCGTTGGCAAACCTTCCATCAACCAAGGGCTGCCATTTAGGAAAGGTAGCTTATATCAATTTCCCGGATCAATACTGTAATGTCTGGCAGGCTGCGGCTGAGTTCTGAGATTTCACCACAATTGTTTTGTCAGGGATGCACAAAAATAGTTTAGATGCAATTTCCAGCCACAAGACTTCTTAATAGTAGAGTGATTATATGCTAACATGTATTGTAATGGCAATGTATAGATAACTAAGGGGACTGCTGAATGGGAAAAGATTGCTAAGGAGGCGGCAAGGACTATTCCTGGAAGAGAAAATGGAGGAAATTGTGACATCAAAAACCTTAGTAGAGGTTCGAAAATATATCTTCCAGTGTTTGTAGAAGGAGCAAATTTCAGCACCGGTGACATGCATTTTTCTCAAGGTGATGGTGAAGTCGCCTTCTGCGGAGCAATTGAGATGAGTGGTTTTCTAGAGCTAAAGTGAGTTTAATTCATGTGTTGTATTTTCACATATGCTAGATTTATGCTAGGAATCTGCCATTTCAAGTTTGTACCAGTAATTTCGCTCCCTCTAAAACAATTTACAAAAAAAAAATCGAAAGGTAATCCAGTAGAAAATCTCCTTTGCACAATTCTCAGATTTTTGCATGTATTCAATTGATTGCGTGTTTGGTATCTTGTTAATAGGTGCGAAATCATAAGAGGTGGAATGAAAGAGTACCTTACTCCAATGGGGCCAACCCCTCTTCATGTAAACCCAATCTTCGAGATTGGCCCGGTTGAACCCAGATTCTCAGAGTGGCTGGTGTTTGAGGGAATAAGCGTGGATGAGACTGGAAGGCAACATTTCCTTGATGCAAGTGTTGCATATAAACGTGCAGTACTCAATGCTATTGACTACCTCTCTAAGTTTGGGTACTCCAAAGAACAGGTTTGTTCCCTCAATATTGAAACTTGACGAACTCAAGTGCACATTTCTCTAGACAAAACAAAATCACACATAGACATATGTAGTTAACTTATTACTGATCCAGAACAAACAATGGTGATCATCAGATATACCTTCTGCTATCCTGCTGCCCATGTGAAGGAAGGATATCCGGAATTGTGGATTCACCAAATGCTGTTGCAACTCTTGCAATTCCAACTGCTATCTTTGACCAGGTATCATTTCTCCAGAAAATTTACGTCACTCCAGTTTGGTCAGGCTCCTACTCCTCTATTTAGCTACCCTTTTTTTTTTTTTTTTCTGTTTTCTTCTTCTAAATGTTTCCCTGCTTCAACTAATTAATTCCCAGTTTTCTTTTCTAATGAGTATCTGCTTTCCTTTGCCCCTTTTGGCAACATGGAAACGTATAAGCATGAGATCCTCACATATGAAAACTCAAATAGAAAAAGCATGATATAAAGTTTAAGAGTGAGAGTCACATGTGTGCATTGTGCAGGACATTCGTCCAAAAACTGGAAAGGTGCCAGTAGGGCCTCGGCTAGTGAGAAAACCAGATGTCTTAAGATGCACTTACGATGGAAATCTCCCCACAACAAAGAACCCGGCTGCCTTGATGTAACTCAAGTCCATGGAGCTAAAAGCAAGAAACTGCTATGTCGGGTTACACTTTTATGCCTAGTGGGGCCTTATGCATATGAAAACAATTATGCATGGAAAAACAGTAATGTGACAGAATAAACTCCAATTTCTGGCTGAGCTGTGACAGTTTCCATCATGGGCGAAAACTCATATCCGTAAGAGAATGTAGTATCTTACAGGATTTTCTACACTGTAGCCAACAAAAGAACACCAACATTGCGATCACAAATATGTTGGAAAACGAAGGATAATAGTCGACCCTTTTCAAAGAAGCAGCCCAGTTATCTACGGACTAGCACAAGAGCCATCTAAATAAATATAAATACATGCATGGAAATGCCATTTACGTCTGGTGAACAGATGCATTATAAGGAAGTATTTCATTTAGCAAGTAAACACATGAACAGATTTTTTAATTAGATCTTTCCAGCTGATATTGAATCAACTGAACAGTTAAATATGAAAAATGTGATCCTTGAGACCTGATAAACATTAAAAGATGTCATTGACTAACATGACACTTAACCTATGAAGTTACCTTGGACATTCCAAGTCAAAATTTTCCTGTTTTGCTGCTAACAAGCTTATAACGGGAAGGCTAGTAGGTTATGATCGACTCAGTAATATATAGACAGTGTTCGATGATGTTGGAGAGATTGGCATTTGACACCGACAGACCAGAGCCAAAGATCTAACTCCACACTCAGGACCTGTAAACGGGGAAAAAAAGGAAGGAAAAAAAGTCCATAATTATCAAAAGGACAAGGATAAAAACCAAGAAAGTGCATTATAAGATCACCTAAGTTGGTCCTTGCTTCAATTGCAAAGGAATTTAGAAATAAGAATTTTAACATAAACACTGTCAAAAGAATCCTGATAATAATCTATTATTTCTGTTTGATAAAATCAAAATGGAAAGATTATTGATGCTGCTAAAATTGCAGTTGAAAACTTTAACTCAGTTTTGGACTAACATATTATAAGGTCATGACATACCAGCCACAGGAAGGCAATCACCAAGAATTCCTTTCCAAAGGAATATAAGATTAACTTAAAATTCAATTTCCTCCAATAAAATGAACTGAAATGATGGCACCAAAAGAGTAATTTGGGGACATGGAATCTTTAGTAAGAGGGTTCACACAACCGTAACTCATAAACCTTCATTTAGAACTAGCGAACAGACATGTTTAAGGAAGCAGTGGCACAATATTTTGATGGAAAATAATTTCAAATCAGAAAACAAATAAAGAGAAAAAGAAAAACCTCCATGCGTGCGAGACTCATAAATTGAAAAGTGCTCCACACAAATGAAATAAAATACATAAAATAGTTCTGCTCTACCTGCTTTCCAGATTTTTTACTCAATAACTCTCTCATTTTCTCCACTGCATATATAGAGCAAGCTCGTAGTTCAACTTCCTCTTCAGTGCCAGCACCAATTTCATTCCTAGCCTCGATGATGCTTGCAAGGGTAGAACTATATTTCAGCACACCAAGCTGCTGGAGCACAGCTGGAACAATATAGTCAGCAAACATAGTGATTGAACTAATGTCATTAAATCCTCCATATCCTTGGCCCTTGAATGCACCCCACAAGTCGGCAGCAAATATCTGTGCTCTTTTATACAAGAACACCTGGTGGCCCTTGTACACTGAGTGGTCTCGAAAGCCTACAATATTTTAGTCATGCATGGAGTATATTTTCAAGTCTTTAGTATGATAAATTATTGCTATGTACACATGTTTCACATATTATTGTCACAATCATTATTAGATGTGACAACAAAATAATAAACTAGATGAAAAATTGTACCTGGAAAATGACGGGTAATAAGAGCAACAAGCTTTACAGCTGATTTTCCACATGATTCAACAAGTTTGGATGCTTTACCCTCAAAGCTTCTTTCCAGTTCAAACCCAACCTAAACCATGAAATTTAGTGACATCAAACAACTGGTTTTGCCATTACGCTAGAGAATTTTATGCAAGCAGAAGCAGATAAAAATAGAAAAACTAGGCAATACCATCCATGTTATCTATGTAATTTGAACACTAAGAAATTTGAAGATAAATATTTATGAGATGAGAGAAAAACAATGCCCTAGTGTCTAATGTATACCCACCTCGTGCAACAGGCGAACCCGCTCCTCCTCTAAAGGAAGTGGTCTAGGCCATTGTAATAACTCACGCAGTTGAGGACCTGAAAACAAAGATCAGTCCATCATATCCTATCTAATGGAAGAGCTTCCCCCAGTGAGTGCAGGTTAGAATGGTGCCAAACACATAACCAAACCATATTCTGTCTCATTTTAACCTAGATAATTATTAATAAGGAAAACAGGTCAACATATATAAGAGCATGTATTTTTCTATGTCTAGAGAGCAAGCTCCTTTATAAAGACATGAGAAGACAGAATGATCAAGATAGAGCAGAATTACCTGTATATTTTTGGAGACGGTCTGCTTCCAATGCAGAGTTGTCATTTAGCAAAGCTTCCTTTAACCCCATGGCCAAATTATCATAATTTAGATCCTTATCTGTTAAGAATAACCAATACAGAAGCAGGAAAATGCAAGCTTAGAAAACTACAACTCAGTAATGGCGATAATATAAACAAATACACGCATATAACCAACACACAAACACAGCTAATATATTACACAAAATATGAGCAATTAGAAGAAAATATGCTTTTAAAGGGCTGTCGTAAGACACAATCGGCAACTAAGAAATGCTTAACATCAGGTCCTTTAGACCATGGAAGAGAATTCTTCCTTTATTATAGGAAAATATGCTACAAGGATAACTGCCTAGGAAATAAGGTGAAAGAAACAAAAAACCACAATGAAACATAAAAACCTATGCATTGGGGATTCTGATAAGACCATTAAAATAGATTCTCAATCATCGCATAAACACATAAATTTAGCTTACATTTTTCTTGTTAGACAATGTAAGGTTTAGAATCCCAACCAAACAATAATGTACTGTTCTCAAAGATTAAATTACAATTAGTTCATACTCTCATTAATGATAATCCATAAAATTAGCACTCAATTTTATGAATCAATAAATTCAATCCCATAAAATGTATACGTTTGCATTTGCAACAATTAAAAAGGAAAAACCCAGTAAGAGGTTTTAATAGTTAAAAACTTACCAGGCCAAAAACAGAAATTCAAAGCATCCAACACAAAAAGGTACTGAACAGTGAGGGGTCCATTATCAAAATAATGAATTCCTTCATAATCCCACTCCACTTTCGGAATCGAGTCTTGCATTTTCTCTACTACTTTCTCAATCCCTGCACTCCGAAAGAAAACATATATACATATATAACCAACATTTTCCATTAACAAAACTTAACAGGAGGCAAGAGGATGGACCTGAAGAATCAATAGTGACGTGAGAAGCATTACGAGCCACCCAAGCAGAGCTTTCTCTCACCTCCTCCATGAGCCGCTGAGTTTTTTTATTTTCTTTTAATTCGTTGTTTGACTGAACCCTAAAGAAACAAAGATTATGGAGAAAGGTATTTTTCTTTATATCGTGGTCAGTTTTGGAGGCCGGGACAGATTTACCAGGTTCTCTGAACCAATTGTTTTCCTTAATTCGAAGTTTCCCGCTTTTGTTTGTTTCTTTTCCCTATGGTCGGCTTTAACCCAAGCCGTATCTTAGGGGTCAGAGCCTCGGACAGAGGGTTATGGTTTGGTTTGGCTTGACCACGACCTGACTCATTTCACGTGATGTGTTGTTTTCAAGTTTTCTCACGTTTTTTAGCTTTCACCAAGGTAGGAAACTAGGCTGGCTCAGAGGGTGGGAAAGGTCAAGAGGCTAAATCCATTTTTGACAAAAGTTGGAGCAGTACGTGTTGCACCCAACACCATTGGGTAGTCGGAATAGGGTAGTTGGAGTTTTTAATGTTCAAGCCTTGGCCATTGGCCCATTTGGGTCTGGTTTCATGAATGTTGGAGACAAATCTACGTAGGTCTTAGTGTAATGAAGTAGACGTCTAAGCCCAATGCTAAATGCATTGATCCCTCCCACCTCATCGCAAACTTGGAATTGTAATTAGAGAAAAAAGATAAAAACACATATGGGATAATGATCTTTTAACATTAAAAGAATAAGAAACAAATAAAAGTGAAAATGTTGAGCATCTTGGTTTAGTAATAATTGTAAATATTTCATACTCAAAATGTAAGATTCAAAAATTGTTTCATTTGAAAATATTAAAATATTAAATTTAATAATAATATATCCATTCATTATTTAAAAAATTAAATTTAAATCTTTTTCTTTAAATATATCTAAAAAATAGTGATGAGGATTTGCTCTCAATTGTAACGCGTCAACTCATTTTAATGAGTTCAGAATTATATGTAATTTTGGTAAGCTAAGCACAGAACTATAATTGATTTTTATCTACATAAATATATATATTTTCTTAACTTCAAATTCAGGTGTGGTTGTGAAGCAAGGAACATTTATATAATAAAGAAGCTGATTATTGATGTTGGGTCTTGAGCTTAAATAAAATAAAGACAAAAGGAGATGCCTAACGGATGTGTAAATGATTTTGTTTTTCTACTTTTGGCTTTATGCCTTGTGATAAAAATAGTGACTTTGCTTTATATAGAAGTTATTGTCTGGAATGAAGATTCTGCTTTATGGAAAAAAAAGAAAGTGGAAAGAACAAAGTCATGAAACCGTAAGCTTTCCGCCTACAAAGTTGAACTGAAATACAAATCCGTGCATGGGTTTCCACATCTAATCCAAGACATTAAAAAGAAAAAGAAGAAAGGATTTCTTGCAATTTTACTTATTTTTTTAATTGCAATAGTGTGGCATTAAGTTTCATTTCTATTCAAATCCTTCATATTCTATATCAAACTTAACATATCAAAAAAGAAATAAGTAAAGTATTTTTAAAATATTTTCATAAATCTCACATATGATATATAAAAAAATTTTAAATAATTTATAAACGATGATGTTGTACGTCTCATTGATTAGGTTTTTTAGAGAGAATAATGGCGTCCTAACACTCTACAATCTCTAATTAATTAAACAGTTTTTTTACGTCATTATTACTAAAATTCATCTTTTTGGGTCAAATGGGTTGGGCTTTAAATTGGCTGATCGATCCAATCAAAATTTCTAGTCCGGACCTTCAAAACCGATAGCGTAGCGATTAACGGTGGTCGCACCTAAACGGTCCGGTTTCATCGAGCTAGATAAAAACGCTGTCGTTTCATTTCAGAAAGTGGGGAAAAAACCAAAAAAAAAGGGAAGTGTTCTAAACCCGGCTGCGGCTAAAAACCTCCCTTCCTTTTTTGTATGAAGCCTAGCTGTAGATGGCCATAAGGCCCTTGAATTTCACAACAATCTCTCTTCACCACCATCGCCACCGTCTCCACCTTGCTCTCCTCTTCTTCCCTTCTCCTATCTCCTCCTCCGCTTCCCCCCTTTCTCCTACCTCCCCCTCTCCCCTTTCCTTCATCCGCGGAGTCGCCTCCAAAACTTCCTCCGTTCCCCTCTCTCAACACCAACAAAAACAGAAAAAAGACCTTTTGTTGAGAGAGCTAAAAGAAACCGAAACCCTGGCTCAAAAGATCGGCAAATCTATTAGGCGCCCCGGCGCCCCTTCCAAGTCTAGGGTTTTCTCCGATGTCAACGTTGTTCGTCCTAAAGAATACTGGGACTACGAGTCGCTCACCGTCCAATGGGGGTATTCTTCTTTCTATTTTCCTTCTATCTACTCCTATATTTATACGTATTTGTATCCGTATCTTGTTTTCTTTGTGTTCTTTTTTTGTTTTAATAATTTTATTTTAGTTAGTGACGGCTGTTTGGTTCTTGTGAATTTGAATCTTAGGGTTTTTATTTGAACTTTTTATATTTGGCTGGAAAATTAGGTTAAACGTTATTGTTGACTGCAAGATCATAAAAAGAAGAAAAGAAGTAAAAATTTGATATTGATTGATTCATTTGAAGTACTGTTTTAGCAGGGAACAGGATGACTACGAGGTGGTGAGGAAAGTTGGGAGAGGGAAATACAGCGAGGTTTTTGAGGGTGTTCACTGTACCGATAACGAGAAATGTATTATCAAGATTCTCAAACCAGTCAAGAAGAAGAAGGTTTGTTCTTGGTGGCATTGCAGTACTTCAATTGATTTATCTTTGTGTTCTTCTGACTCGGTTTGATTAAAAATGACTCTTTGGGATGCAGATTAAGAGGGAGATTAAGATACTGCAGAATCTTTGTGGAGGGCCCAATATTGTGAAGTTGCTGGATATAGTTAGGGATCAGCAATCGAAGACTCCAAGTCTTATATTTGAATATGTGAATAATACGGATTTTAAAGTGCTTTATCCTACGCTGTCTGATTATGATATTCGATATTATATCTACGAACTTTTGAAGGCAAGTAGACTTTTTCCTTGCTGCTTGAGTTCTTCATTATGCTTATTGGATTTGAAATGAGCTGCATATTTGTAGGCTTAAAATCATGTCTCTATTTTTCTCGTAGCTCTCAGTCCAATGAAGTTTTGAGTTCAAACCTAGGTGATTAGTTTAGGGTTCATGGTGAAAAGTAAGAGATGCTTTTCTTTGGTTCTGGAACATATATGCCATAGATTGGAAGTAAAAGCAATTGGATGACCTGGTTAAATGGGATTACTGAGGTTTTATTACACATAGATTGTGATCTTGAGTAATTATGAATATACATCTGCAATGTCAGGATGCTGTCATATCATTATTTTTAAGGCCTAAACTATTTCCTGTTGTGGTTGATGACTTCTTGATTGGATACTATTCTGCTTATGATGATTGAAAGATTGCATAAGGTGCTTGTCATAGTCAATTCTAATAATTGCTATTCTTTTATATGAATTTCTAGTGGTGCAGTCGTGACCTTTTTAACTTTAGGTGATGTTTGTGTATGTTTATTTGCCGTGGATTCCTAAAATATTGATATCTCTAGATTTCTTTTATAAGATAGCTCTGCCTGGAATGTGAATTTTGATCCTTTTTCTCTTTTCCTCGGAAAGAAAAAGGCTGTTTCAATCATTTAAGTATTGTGAGTTGTTATTTTTAGGCATTGGATTATTGCCACTCGCAAGGTATTATGCACCGAGATGTGAAGCCCCATAATGTGATGATTGATCATGAGCAGCGGAAACTTCGTCTTATTGATTGGGGCCTTGCAGAGTTTTATCATCCAGGGAAAGAATACAATGTTCGTGTTGCTTCAAGGTTTGTTTCCCTGTTGGCATTTTGTCTTTAAAGTTCTCAATTGTTCATTTAGCCATATTTTTTTTTCATCTCCTTTCTAAGTACTGTTGTAGTCCACATCCTTTTGCTTACATCAGTTGCTCATCTATCTTAAATATTTGAGCATTATCAAAAGTACCTGCTTATGTTGTAGCATTTTTGAACTAGAAAGCTGACTTCTAGAGACGGCAATGGAAGTTGATTTACAGATTTATGGTAACTGATGTGTTACCATAAATTATGTTATGAAAATTTTGCTTCCTACAGTTAGTCGACTTTGAAGACAAAAAGCTTTTTCACTTGCTAATTTACAGTGTTCGTTAACTTCATTCAACACAGCTGGGAAACCTAAGGCTACATTAGATATGACACAGGTCTAGAATAAGAGAACTGGGTGAAGCTTAGTGCTTGTTATAGTAGCTTGTAGTTTAAAAATTAGAGTTGAATAGCAGAGGGTATGGAGGCTAGAAGCATTCAGCAAAACATGCATTCCTTAGTGCATCTTGCATTTGGTTTGAGGGAAAAAATTATAATTATGCTAATATAATGTGATACTGAAAATTTTAAAATAAAAGAAGTTAGAAGAAGAAATATATGGAATTCAAGACTGAATATGTGTGCGATAAAACTGAAAAAGGGTGGAGAAGGCAGGGGGAGTTCCTCTTAGGAGCAGTAGAATGCATTATATTTTATAGAACTTCCTGTTACTTATTCTGACAATATGTTAGCTTAAGGGTCTTATTACATATTAAAAGAGATGCTTTTTAGTGGATGTCATATTTGTTTGTATGTCACTGACAACTCTCATTACCATATTCTGCAAATCTATCAACTTGTGCTTTTTCAGAATTAAGTTTTTTTGGTATCTAAATTTTACCCCTCCTTTAATTTGTTACCTTTTTCGCCTTAATCACTTCATTTCTGGTTTGCAGATATTTTAAAGGTCCTGAGCTTCTTGTTGACTTGCAAGACTACGATTACTCTTTAGACTTGTGGAGCCTTGGTTGTATGTTTGCTGGAATGGTGAGTACTATCTTTGGATTATTTTACCTCTTTAGGAGTAGATCACTTCTTCAAAGAGGTAGGCTTTCATAGTCCTTACCCTGGCACTTCATATATCAATTTCTCCTCATGTACATTTGTGGTGTTATGCAAGTAGACCTGGAAATGTCTTTTGGAAAGACTGATCTTCATGAAGACTCAGCTCAAAAGGCACCCTCAATATATAGTCATTGGCAATAATGCAAATGGACTCTGCTTTTCTCAGGACCCTTTGAATGTTCAAATATTAGTGTCCTACATTTTAATGGGGTAGAATATCACCATTAGATGAGTGTATCTTGATCTGCTTGCATATTCATCCATGGGTGGCAGATAGCAGAGGAGGATTGAAATTTGATATAACGCCAAGGTATTCGATGCTCTCTCTGTTGAGATGCTTATTTTTGAGGGTTGTGCTGTACAGATATTCCGAAAGGAGCCATTCTTCTACGGGCATGATAATTATGATCAACTGGTCAAGATTGCCAAGGTATGTGAACTTGTGGATGTTTCAAGTAACAGTGAACTGACAGAATTGTATTCCATTGTGCACATCCTTATCTTGTACTGACATTATTTGTTGTTGAGGCTTGCTTAGAAGTTCTCTTCCTCTTCATGATTGTAATCTGGTGCTGTTTTTGAAGGAATACCATGCTACTATTGTGCATCATTGATGCCTTGGGAGAGAGAGTCCTTTCACTAAGTGTTTAAAATTGGATTTATGTAGGAAAAAATATAAGGTTATTAAATATTTTCCTCTTTTGCTGCATTAGGTTCTCGGGACAGATGAATTAAATGCTTATCTGAATAAGTACCGCATAGAATTGGATCCACATCTTGCGGCCCTTGTTGGGAGGTTGGTAATATAATTTATTAGTCAGATTGATGATACAGAAGTACAGTTAATTCCAGCTAAGAAACATCTTCTATTCTTGATTCAGGCACAGTCGCAAACCATGGTCAAAGTTCATTAATGTGGACAATCAACATCTTGCCTTGCCTGAGGTAGTATAACTAGCCATCTGTATCTACAATTTTGAATGTTCTCCCTGTATCACATTCCATCTTTAATGTATACTGTTATTTGTTTTGTAAGGCTGTTGACTTCCTTGATAAGTTGCTTCGATATGATCATCAAGAAAGGCCAACTGCTAAAGAAGCAATGGTAAACTCCTGATCTTTATGAACCTATTGAAAAACACCCGTCTGGCAGATATGTTTTCATACATTCAATATTCTGTGTTGTCTGCATCTGAAGATACCTATTGCCCTTAAAACTCGATAACAAAGTTTCCTAATTAAGATTATTTCATTATCATGCAGGCTCATCCTTACTTCTATCCAATTAGAAATGCTGAAAGCAGCAGAACTCGTGCCTAGCATTGCCAAATCCGTGATGCCGTCAAGACATTGGCATCTTCTTTGTGCTTGGTTGGATCCTGGCTTTGTAGTCTGACTGAAGATTTTAATGTCGGTGGTTGAGCTTGAAGTTAGAAGTCTTTCAATAATCTTCTGTGATTTTCGTTTCTCTCCCAAGGGAAATTTTAGTTTACTCTGACTTTCATATTTGTCCAACTATTGCTGATAATCCTCTGTGTGTTCTTCAGATGGGAAACAATTCTTAAATCTGATTTCGGTTTGCTCCTTACTACTGAACCACTGATCTGATCTTTGGTCTCAGATTTATTATGCTTTCATCCGATCTCTGTCTCCTTCTCCTTTTGTGGGTTCCTTTGGTTTTTACAAGCTGTTAGCTCATTGGTTCCGGCCCATTGGATATATGAGCAGCTGCCGCCATTTCTAGTCCAGTGATGGGAACTTTCGTTTAGAAGGAAAGGTTTTATGGTCGTATTTGAAAAGGGTATTGTAGTTTTTAACTTAAAATACGTAGTTTATAATTCTACTTATATTGTGCTTTTTACCTTAAAAAGTGCGACTACTTTCACCCTTACTCCCCTCTTTTCTTGGTCCTCCTAGTTCCTAAATATATAGGCTTAGTCAACTAATACTTATGCATTGTAATGGAAAATTGGTGCCGGTTAGGGGTGTGGCTGCTCTAATTAACCGTATAGAGATTTTAAGTTAAGAACCGATATAGTAACAAACCAAGGAGATAATTAAATGGTTACACATTTTGATGATATTTCGTTGAGTTTTAATAACTTCCATTATCCACGGAACCAAAATCAAATCTATTTCTTTATTAGTGACTCTATTTTCGTCACTTGGATCTTTAGATGTGTTTAAAGTTTAGTTAGATTTTCTCTTTATATATAACAATATAAAGTTAGACGTGTTGAAATTAGGTATGGAACACATGCAATAAATACATGGAGGCCATATGAATGCGTAACTTTGAACCATGACCTGGTCATTATCATCATCTTTATATTTTCATTTGGTTCTTTTGCAAGTCCCGGGTTTTAAATGATATCCCGTAAAGCAAGTGAATGAAATGATGAAAAAATGGGGAAAACTCCTATGTAACGGAAGCTCTGAAAACCCGACGAAAATCCGATTTTTCTTACGTAAACCACCAACTTTAATTGCTCACATTTTCACACACAACAATCTCTGTTGTCCTTTGGTGAAACAGCGAAACTCGGTTTCTTCTTAGGATGTTTGGTCGGCAACGGCGGCAACCAGCCTTTGGAGGTTTTCGCTGAAATTCCAAAAACTTGGCAAACGTTATCCATTTGGTCTTTGCTATTGCCTTTTTCCCTAGCTGACCCTCTCCCCTCTACCATTTGGTTACACTCGTACTCTTCGCCTTATCCAGTCCTTCATTCTTAACAGGACGTTACCCTCCTACTCCAAAAGTAAACACGAATGAAGCATACATTTTCTTTTTATCCCACGAATTTCCAAATACATTTCCTACAACTACGGAATGCTTAATATGTAGACCGTAGAATAAAGAAACCGAAAGAAAAATAAGATGAGGAATAACTTTTTGAGAATGTTTAAAGGAGTTGTTATCCCATGATTTTATTATTATCTTCAATAAAGAGATTGGAAAAAAAAACAAAAGTACAAATTTCCCTTTTGGGTTTAGACAGGGGAAGGAGAGAAGGGAGGAGGAAGAAGGGTTGACCTTTTTCTAAAATGACAAAGATCCCCCCAGCCCTCCCTACCACCAAGTTATGGCAAGTGAAAAGACAAAAACTATTACCCAAATTTAGTTGAAGGGCAAGTGTCCGTTGCTTCTGCTTTTTTGGTATTGCCTTTCATGGCTCTTTTATCCTCTACTAGACCTCTGTCTCTTCCCCATAAAAGTGTTCTTAGGGGCCCATAATTCCACCAGCCTAAGGCATGTGTCCCAAAGGTTGATTTTTTCTTTTTTTGAGTGTCCAAATAAATAACTAAATAAATCTCACCAACTATCTTTTCAGCCTATGGATCATTTGATCATGATCATGTTTAAAGCGTGTCTTACACGCGCCTGAGATGACGGTATGGATTAAAGGTGCAAAATATATATATATATATATATATATATATATATAATAATTGGAGACAAATTTAGGGCATAGGAATCCCAAAGCTTTCCTCCGTTGGGGGCATCTGGCATATAATCCAACTATAGGGGACCGGCGTGGAGGGGGACCAATCCACCTCTTGTTAACACTGCCATGGCCAACAAATTTAGGGATTTTGATTCAATTGTGGTCGATTTGCCCACCCTTATATCTTTCTACAGACACTCCCACTGGTTGCTTTCAATGAATATTTTCTATAATTACTAAAATTTAGTTACAAGAATTTTGTAAAATTTACAATGACAAATTGTGTTGGTTAGGTTTTTTAGATATTTTTTAAACACATATATCCGACACACATTCAATGCATATGAAAATGACTTTGTGTATAATACAAAGTCGCATTCGGAATTTATTTATAAATCTGAATGATATAAGTAAAAAAAACTGATCAAATGTATTGGAACTAACATTATTCATATACATATCAGCTCTATTGATTTTTTTTAAATAATCTCAATATGCTAAATTTATATCCTTTTTTTTTTTTACACATAGAACATCTTGTCCCATGCTTCAACATTTACCTATCAAGTTTATAATAAAATATTTTCAAGATCGATTTTAATTGGGGTTGGAGGAATTCAAAAGCTCATACTTCCTTTTCGGTTAATTTTGTGCATGTCAACATCTGTTGAGATCCTCCTACTAGCAAGTTGTTTTATAAAAAAGTTAAGATATGTGACATATTTATGAATCACACACGTACGTGTGTATATATATATATATATATATAATTTTATATATACATTGCTAATTAAATTTTTTTTATTTATTTAATTGTCAAGTATGAGAGGTATACCTTTTCTTCCTGGACACCCAAGATTAACTAACCAATCCTGAAAGTGACCTTTAAGGGTTCAGAAGCTTCAGCCGAGTCCATTGCAGCTCAATCCTGCCTGTACTCATCGTTTTGTTTAAAAAGCTTAAAAAATTTGGTAACTACTTCACTTGTTTGAATGCATCCTAGCTGCTGTCACCGGCCATCGGCCACCACATCATTCCTGGCATGGCATGCATGGACATGATATGAAAACATGCATGGGCATGATGGGAGGGATGATAGTGATGGCAATGGTGATGGTGATGGAAACTGAACGGCGACGTGGCAGGTCCTCTGAATTTGTTCTTATCTCTTATCGCAGCCCTCCCTCCCCTTCCCCATGCTTTCAGTTTCAGCAGCTTTTGTCTTTTTATAATACAGGTGAGGAACGTACAAAATAGGATACATGGCCATGTATTTCTACTTTATATATATATATATATATAGCAAGTAGGAGATATCGAAAATGAGGGGCACTTTTGTACTTTTAGTATTTCTCATTTGATTTTTTCTTTTTATTTTGATGGTTAAAATAAAAAAAAAGAAATACCCTAAGACTACCCCTACTAAATCCTAATACATATAAAAGTGAAAATCCACAGCTGTCACCTGTCACTGAAGAGAGGATACTGGTAAAGTCATTGTCAAATTTTGGCTTTACTAAAAGTTAGGCTCACCTTTTTTTTATCACCCTTTCCGGTTGTTTTTATTAGGATAAACTTAATTGGACCGACTATCCCGTCAAAGTTTTTCTCTTTTCGACATTAACATGCTCCTCATGGTATAATATTGATGAAATAAACTTTAAATTTAAATGTGTAATTAATCTGGGTTCTTGCCAAAGGTTGGCAATGGCAACAGAGTCTTGTAAATCTCATATTAATTGTTTTTTTTTTCCTTGTTCTTTTATGTAGAAAAAGAAATAAAAGAGATAATGAGTGGTTGAACTTATTCAATCAAAGTTATAATGATGAATGCCATCTCAAATGGCAAAGATGAGCAGAGTTTGAGCAGAGACTTTGATTTTAACGGTAATATTTCCTCTTGTATGAACACAGAAGATTATTGCTTTCCAAAACCTTCTATCACCATCACAAAATGAATCTAAAGGATCCAACCATATATATGTGGCCGACATGTAAATTTCTTTTTTTGACTTTCATCTTTGATTTATGGGAATCGAACACCATGATTTAATTTGGGGTGATAGAAAAGGAGTTGATCTCTGTCTATGCTTTCTCTTACAGGTTACTGCTTCTGAAAGGAAATGATGGTGGGAGTTTCATTAGTTTAGGGCAACTGTCAAGATATACTTGTAGTCCTGTACGATGTGTTAGTATATGGTTTAAGGTTTTGGTCCTGTCCTCATCGTCCCGAAACAAAACCTTGAATTTTGTTTCTCGATTTCCTCGTGCGCCAATATTGTCTCTTCAAACCTGGAAACACTGTCGAGTCAATTCATTATATATAATGAGAAATCGCACTAGGAATATTAGTTGAACAGTGAATATCCCACAATTTCTTGGGATGGAAATAAATGTTTGTATGTTTTTTTTTTTTCTTGTAGGATCTCCAATTGCAAAATAGAAGTGAAGACCAAATGTTGCTTGAACGATTAGCATTGTCATGTACAGGAACAGATATAAATATACAACCTGCGGCCAGGGTTCAAACAACTTGCTCATTCGAAGAAAGTTGGTTTCTTTTTCTTCTTACTTTTGTTTTGGGAATGATAATAAGCCAACATGATAGCTAATTAACAAGACCATATCAAAATAGTGCAATGCAAAAGCGAACATGCGTTTACATTATATATGTATATACTAGCTAGATGTGACCTCTTTTCCTTTTTTTTGTTTTTGGTTTTTTTTTTTTTGGGTATTGATACGTGTGTGTGAAAGAGTGATCGAGTATTGGCTTAGAGGGGTCAAGATTTGATTCCCAAAAGGAACAATATCTTTTTCATTGTAAAGTCCCATCTTGTTCTTTGCATGGATTTACTTGGAACAATATCGTCCAAAAAAAACACTAGGTAAACTTTATAAATTATGCTAATAAATAAATGGGTATGAAACAAAAATATATGGACGGTTGTGATTTTGTCTTCATGCTGACTTTACTAGTCAAATGCATTTTCCCAACGTGTCACCATAACGTGATTATATCAAAGGTCATTTCAAGGGACTATATATATAATTGGGGGATATAAATATTATATATTATGCATATGAAAATGGAAACGTTAACAAGGGGAAGGAAGGGCTGGGTCATGGGGCAAACTTGGCACGTCTCAA